CTCGAAGGGCGCGATCGAGGAACTTTCACCGGACCGGTGGTCTTCAGGGTTTTACTCCCGGGTCTTCCTCGTGAAGAAGAAGTCCGGTGCCTGAAGGCCTATTATCGACCTCAGTACGTTCAACACGTACGTCGATTCCCCGCACTTCCAAATGGAAACGCCAAGACGCATCATTGCGTCAGTGCGTCCAGGGATGTGGGCTACGTCCATCGATCTGAAGGATGCTTACTTTCACATCCCGGTCAGGAGGTCGGCCAGGAAATTCCTCAGGTTCACTTTCGAGCAGAAGGTTTACCAGTTTCGCGCTATGCCCTTCGGCCTCACTACGACCCCCTTGGTTTTCACCAAGTTTTTGCAGGTAGTAGTGGGGCACCTCCACAGTCTCGTGGTAGATGCACACATCTACTTCGACGACACCCTGTTATCCTGTCCCGGAGCACGAGGTCGGTTCTGGGCGTTCTGTGCCGCCTAGGGTTCATCCCTTCCAGGGAGAAGTCGGAGGTTCTCGCCTCCCAAGATTTTGTTTTCCTCGGTTATCGGTTTAGAACCGATCTGGGGTTTGTCCTTCCACCAGCGTCCAAGTTCGAGAAGGCCTCTCTGTTGGTCTCCGTTCTGGTCGGTATGGAGCGAGTTCAGGTTCGATAGTTCCTTCGGTTCCTCGGTTACCTGAATTCACTGGCGGATGGGGTTCCCTTGGGTCGGCTTCACATCCTTCCGCTCCAGCTGTTCCTTCTATCAGTTTGGTCTCCGTTGTCTCGGCAGTGGGATGTGTGCATTCCTCTGCCGGAGTCGGTGAAGGAATCAGCTCGTTGGTGGACTCTCGAGAGCAATGTCTTGGCAGGAGTTCTTCAGGTTCTGGCATCTCCTGCTATGACCCTTTACACCGACGCGTCCATGACTGGTTGAGGTGCATACCTTTCCGGTCAGACGTCGGCGGGGGTGTGGTCGGGGGAACAGCTTTCAGAACACATCAATGTTCTGGAAATGCGTGCTGTTCTGTTGGCCCTTCGGGGTCTTCGACCCTCCCTGCAGGGCAAGGCAATTTGTCTGGCGACAGGCAACTCCACTGTGGTGGCTTATCTGCAGCGCCAGGGGGACACCCGTTCCCCGGCTCTGTGTGCTTTATCCACCCAGGTCCTGTTGCTGTGTCAGGAAATCAGTCTCGATCTCACGGTGAGGCACCTTCCAGGTCGTCTGAATGTTCTGGCCGACACTCTGTCTCGGTCTCGGAGCCCGGTTCTCACCGAATGGACCCTCAAGCGTTCGGTGTTCCGGTCTCTTTGCCTGGTTTGTGACAGACCCCATGTGGATCTGTTCGCCACGGCCCTGAACTTTCGACTCCCTACGTTTGTGTCTCCGATTCCAGATCCTATGGCCATGACGGTGGATGCTCTATCCCAGGACTGATCGGGAATGTACGCGTATGCGTTTCCTCCCTTCAATCTGGTGGGCAGGGTGTTGGAGAAGATTCTTCTACACCCTTGTACTGTGTTGCTGGTCGCACCGCTCTGGCCTCGACAACCTTGGTTTCCTCTGTTGCTTCGGCTTTCGGTGGACTTCCCGCGCACTGGTGCTAGATTCCTTGTTGAGGGCGCCATTCGAGCCCCTCCAGTCGACGGATCGGAAGTTTCTTACTTTCAAGACTGTGTTCTTGATAGCCTTTGCTTCCGGTCGCCGCAGAAGCGAGATTCATGCTTTCAGCAGATCTCCTTCTTGTCTTCGTTTTTCGGCTGGCCATTCTTCGGTCTCAGTGACCACTGATCCCTCCTTTTTAGCTAAGAAACAGGTTCCCGGTTTCACCCCAGGGCTTGTGTCCTGATATCGCCTGTTCTGCCCAGTTTGGGCCTTGCGTTACTACTTGGCCAGAACAGCAGAGAGAGAGAGAGAGGGGGGGGGGGGCACTTATTTAATGGTTCTTCTTACGCTGAGGTCATGACAGCTGCTGTTTGGAGGGGTCATTCTACGTTTACGGAGTTCTATCTCCGATCTTTGTCGGGACAGTCTTACGGGTTGTATTCTTTGGGCCCTCTTGTGGGTGCCCAGTCCGTTGTCTGTCCTCCCTCTTCTTTTGCATAACCCTCATTATGTCTTCTCCGCGTGATCCGGAACGCTGGTCGTAATCAGGCTCTGTGTCACAAAAGAAAAGGTATTTTGAAGTTTTCCTCCGGGGGTATGGGTCCTATTGTTGGAACCCTTCATCGCTGCATGGAGACACCACTGCGGTAAGTCGAATTCGCATTACAATGACTGTGGTAACGTATTTTGAAACAGAATTGAGGTTTCTCTTGTGAAACCAATTTCTATTATAAATACTTACCACAGTCATCAGGTGAGTTCCATTCCAGCCTCCCCTTGTCTCCTTGGCTTTTTTGGGCTTTGGAATTATGAAGTGGGAAGCATGGCTTCGTGTCTGATCACGTGCGTGAATACTGTCGTCTGATTGGTGGGTTTTCCAGGGGTTCCCCATGGGGAGAAAATTCTTTATTTACGTATGTAAAGAGCCAAGTAAGGTTGGAATATGCATTTTTATGACTGTGGTATGTATTTATAATAGAAATTGGTTTCACAAGAGAAACCTCAAATAAGTATAGAAACACAAAGTAAACTCTCTCCAATACATGCCCATTAACATATTAAACTAAGTTCATCTGTGTTCAAACTCAGACAAAGATACTAGCGAGCTTAATAGTTTTAGATATTTATTCATAACATAAACAGCGTTAGCATTTCTGTCGATTCCATTTCAGCTTAACCGGCTATCCGGAAGAATACATGCACCGTACTAACTGCTACGGCAGTTATTTTCTCCTTTGAATACTGCCCACCTGCAATAATGATTCCGTAACGTACTCCTTGCGCTATCTTTTGACTATTTGGCAACTTTTCGTTTCGTAGCTGACACGGTACAACTTTTTTTTTCTCTTACTTCACACGGCAAGTCATTTTGTTTACAAAGAAATTGTGTGCTATGCGCATGCGCTAGTAGAGGGAAATCCCTGAACAAAACGTTGGTCAGACAGGTAGAAATACCGATGATTTTCTTAGATTTAATCATTTTTATGAATCTATTTCAGCCAAATGCGACCGTTATTTTCCATAAGGAGTCTCACTTGATATGTTTATGTAGTATTTGAAAAAAAGACAAAAAATAAAGTTACTTCACCGTGATGCCCCTTTAACACAAGAGTTAATTGTTAAAAAATTATATCTAAACAAATAAATAAGATGACTTACATGATTATATAGGATTGAAGTTGTTTTAATAAATACTCATCCTCGATCGTAATAAAATCTGCTGTACCACATTATTTGCACATTTGTCGGAAAATATGTTAATTAATTAATAAATACTCATCTTCACAAAAAACATTATTTGATTTCTTAATATCATATATTCTACCCTCTATCTGCGATCTAACGTTACTTTTCAAGAAATAATGGACAAGTGTGCATGTATTTTGTCGGAATATTAAAAATGAAGTAGAACATGGTGAAAAAATATTTATTTTACCGTGTAACATGTAATGAAAAATGTGATTTCGTGTTTTTTGTATTTTATGCAAGGTGGTATAAGTAATCTAATAATTCATATTAAGCCTTATTTCACGTGCGAACAAGTATTAACGAATTCATTTAAAAATATGAACCTTCTGTGAAATTCTTTTTTTTTTCTATCAGTAAGATAATTGTCAAGTCATCGAAGAAGTTTTCCTGGCAGACCATATCTATCAGATCAATACATAAGAGACCTACACCTGGTAAATAAATCTTATTCATGATCAGAGATATTGTTTGAGTCAGGAGATTGCTTTAGTGATAATGATTGAGTGGCAATTTCAGGCTAGTATGAATACAAATCTGTTACATTCATATTCAATAAGGGAGCTTCATGATAAATATGTATGTAACAGATTTGCGATTATACCCGCATGAATATTGAAAAAATGCTGTTGAATCTTTATATTTAAAAATGCACATGATGTTTTTACATAGCTGGTATTGACCTAAATACAATATTGAAAAGTCTCTGTCGTCAGTGCAAACGAGATAAACAGTCTAACGTCACCTACATGTTTGCTTCTGAGGGTTATGCCATGGTATTCGATGAGGGAGGAGAAACTTAAAAATGACGCTGATCCAATTGCGTTCATAGCCTGATCAACGTTATTTCTTATGATAATGCTTATAGAGGAACTTGCAGTGGAATTGTAAAAATATACATATACATTTTGTTTGTGGTTTTGTTTCTCTCTCTCTCTCTCTCTCTCTTTCACCCTAGATTTTTCATAGAGCAGCGGGTTGGCAAATTGGACCTTTAATTCAATATATCATTTTTTCCGCCTTTTTTACTTCCCTTATGAATTGTAAAAAGACCCATACACGTTACCAAGCAAGGACAAACAAAAATGTCGGAGCACTTCCTTAGAAACGACAGTCGGAAGAGATGGGAAAAAAAACCCACAAACTTTTCAGCTTTAATGACAAGAAATCGCGGATATCAAGTCATCAATATGCACAATATACAGGCAATGGTAACTCCTTATTAAGTTTGGAATACACCTGTTAGCTAAACCCTCAGGTAAATATTGATAGCCAGTCCCCCTAACGTCGATAGATAATAGAAAACGCAATCTGTACCACCTGTTTTCATGTAGGCTTGTCATCTCCGAACACCGGTGTACTTAAAAATATACATATACACGTTAAACTGGCGCAGTTTGACCACTGACTGCAGCCAGTGTCCAGATCTTGTGCCATCACATATAATATCGGTTTGATGATGAAATGAAAATTAGGTATTACGAGACACAAGAACAACCTAATTTAAATATCGCATGCTGAAAATTGTGTTGCTTCATATCTAATAACACTTATTATGCCATAAAACTTTTGTTTCATAATTATGGCACCAAGGTGATTATTTCTTAATTACCAAGAACCATGTTTAAGGCATGGTCGTTGGTTTTCATACGTTGGTAAGTATTGTCATTCTAATAACTCACTCACCAAAGACGATATACAAATGTGATATTGATTTCCTATAGACATAATGAAATTTTCATAGACCTGACTTAAACCTAGATAAGTTAAACAAGCTTTATTTTTTTTATCTAATTTATTACATAGTTATGAAAATTAAAAAATAGTGATATAGTTATTTTCATCACTTTCTACCTCTCACTGCTAACATATACCATCCATCTCATTGAATCATACACATCAAAGGAAATAACGTCATACACAATCTCGTCACTGAAGTTAACAAACGTACAGACCTACAGCTTTTTTCGTGGTCATTGTCTGTTGGCCAACCGTTAAGTTTAACCTTGCATAGATCGAGCGTAAATTTCCGAGCGAAATAAATGTATCAGACAGGCAGGGTGTTTCTAATGAAGGTGACAGAGTACATACCGTACTAGTCATCGTTACGTCACATCGAAACACTTATTGGTTTTATAACAAGAATCATTTCATAAAGCAGGGAATATGTTAACTAAAGGTAGTCGCAAGGGTAGATTTGCAAATGAATTATTCTTCGGCATTAACGGTTATGAAAAAAGTACACATATCACAAATATAAAAAAAAATAAGCAAAAGGATGTCGATTGTTCACTTAAAACTAGTTCTGATGTCAATAGTTGTCAGTAGTTGAATAATGTAAAATGCAGCATGTTAGATGCGAAATTACTTTCGTTGTTGAACGCATGGACAATGTTTAAAATTTGAATTCAAATGAGGCGACAAATACCAAAGTAAAACAAACAAACATTTTAATGGATGTTCAAATGCAAATATATCTAATGGTTGGTTGGTTGAGTAACAGTTAAAGTAGGACGCTGTTTGTTGCTTTGTGTTGACGCTCCGGAGAAACCATATGACGCCAGAAGACGGTGTCTTCACAACAACTTATAAAATGTGAAGATATTGTCAATACAACAGCTGAAGTAATATGACAACAGTGCCCAAACAATAGCATCGGTGATATGACTAATATATAGAATGAATTGAGATCGGTATCCACACAACGGTTAACGAAATACGACTATGCAAAATATGACTTTGCTTTCTAGACAACAGCTAAGGTGATAGGAACATAGCATGTACACAGAATGTTGGGTAACGTGGAGACAACAGCTTTGATAATATGAGAACACTTCCTCTCATACTTGCCCGTGAAAGACAGGAATTCACGTAATTTTGATACCGAGTTAACGTGAGGTCCCAGATAAGGAAAAACCGAAACAAAATGCAAAAGAAAACTACAAAAATCAAGTTCAAGTGCTGTAATATGTGGCGCTGATTTGTTTATCATTTCTTCATTTATTTCTTTTCTAAATTAATGAGAGACGCGTTAGAAAGAAATACTTATTTCCCCTGATTGTAATCAGAAGAGCATGGGAAGTTTG